CACTCCATACCCCCACTCCATACCCCCATCCATACCCCCATCCATACCCCCATCCATACCCCCATCCATACCCCCATCCATACCCCCATCCATACCCCCCCATCCATACCCCCCCTCCCCACCACTCGTCGCCCCCATTGATCCCTCCGCCGCCTCCTCTCCATGCCGCTGCTGGAGCAGGCAGCCCACGCCACGCCCGCAGCCGCCGTCCTCCTCCTCCCGCTGGCTATGCCCCTCCTCTCCCTCGCCGCCACCCTCGCCACCGCCCGCTCGCCCTTCCCTGCCCTCCTCTGGTGCTGGTTCTGCGGCCGCTGGGCCGCCGTCTCCCTCGCCTCGGCCCACGCCCGCTGGCTCTGCCCGCACTGCGCCGCCGCCAATCCGCCCACTGACAGCCCTCCGCCATCGACATCGCCATCGCCATCGCCATCGCCATCGCTATCCTCATCGCCATCGCCATCGTCCGCCGCTCGCCCCGCCACACGCCCTGCTGCCGCCGCCCCGCGCCTCTGCCCGCCCTGCGCAGCCGCGCAGCGCCGCCTCATCGACGACATCGCCGCCTGCGGCCACAACTCGGCCGCCGAGAACAATGCTCAGCTGGCGGCAGCTCACGCCCGCGCTGTCCTCTGCAGGCCGTGTCAGGCCGCAGTCGACGCCCATCTGGCCCAGCTCGACATGGCTCTTGTCGCCGCCCATCTCGCTCGCAGCGCAGAGGCACCCGCCGCGGAGCGTTCGGCTCCGCCCCGCGTCGCCACCGCACACGCCGCCCGCTACCAGGCCGCCGTCCTCGTCTCGCTTGCCCTCGTCGTTACCACCGTCACCACCGTCGTCGCGTGGCTCATTGTACCGGCCTGGCTTGACGCCGCCCGCCCTGATCTGCATCCGCACTCACTCGTTGCCGCCGCCGTCGCTACCATCGTTCTTCGCGCTGCAGGTTTGCCGCCGCTGGTCACCACCGCTCCCGCCAACCGTGTTGTCTGCCTCGCCCTCATTGGCATCGGCGCCGCTCTTCCGGCCGACGCCGACTCCCCCTTGTTGCCGCACCGGATGCTCCTCGCCCTCGCTGCCGCCATCGCCCTCGCCCTCGCCGAGCTGCATCTCCTCGCCTGGTTCGCCTCCTTTACCATCGTCTCGTCCTCGGCACTGAGCTGGGCCGGCGAGGCGCAGGCCGACGCCACCGCCTTTGCCTCGGCCGCTGCCGCAGATGCAGACGCCGCTGCTGCCGCTGCCGCTGCCGCCAATGTCGAGGCCAGCAAGGCGCAGGCGGATACTCTGCCGCGCCCGCCCCTCCCCGTTGCCCGCCTCGCCATCGGTCACCTCGCCGTCTTTGCTGTCGCCCTCGGCGAGACCTGGCTGCTCGGCGATCACACCCCGACGCGACTTCTCAAAGCAGCGCGGCTCTCGCTGCTCGGCGCTGTCGCCGCTTATGCCGGCCTGGAGCGGCTGCTCCTCCCGCCGCGCTGGCGGCTGCTCGCCCTGCCACGAGCCTACGTCCTTGTCGTCACTCTCCTCGCCGCCCATCGCCACGGCATTGTCGACGAGCTCGCCGCCGGCCTTCTCCCGCTCTGGATCCGCGTCGTCATGCTCGTCACCGCCTACGTTGGCTCGGCCCGGATCGCTGAGGCCACGGCCGAGAGCTAGACCGCATCGCTGCAACTCGATGATCTAGCCGGACGGGGAAGAGGCCAAAGCTTGCACTCCTCCCGAGTCGCGTCAGCAATCAGGTGAGGCTACGGTAGAGGGGGGGGAGGACAGACATGGTTCAATCAAAGATGCTCTTCTTGCCCTTCTTGAGGCTCTTCTTCTTGGCGGGCTTCTTCTTGACAGACGTCTTCTTCTTCTTGGCCGACGTCTTCTTCTTGCCCACGGGGTCGCCAAAGATCGACGGCTCGGCAGGACCAGCCTTGGCCTTGGCCGACTGTCGCTTGCGCGCAGCCTTGTTCGACGCCTTCTTCTTGGGCTTGGGCTTGGCGCCGTTGGCCCGCGATGGGATGGCCTCGACCGGGTCGTCAAAGATGGAGAAGCCGCCGCCTCCGCCGCTCCCGCCTGTCGCCGCCGCCGTCTTCTTGGCGCCGCCGCCGGCAGCCTTCTTGGTGCTCTTCTTCTTGTTCTTGCTGCCGCCGCCGGAGGTTGTCGGCTCCGGCTCGGCAACAGCAACCGACGAGGCAAACAGGAACGCGTCGTCGTCCTCGTCGTCGCCAAACACAGACTTGGAGCGCTTGGCATCGGCAGCAGCCTTGGCGGCGTCGGCCTTTTCGCCAAACAGGTCCTCGTCGTCTGCGCCAAAGTCGGCCACACCGTTCTTCTTCTTGCTCCCCGCCTTCTTCTTGGCAGTCTTGGGCGTGGCGGCCGGCTCGGGCTCGGGCTCGGGCTCGGGCTCGGCGACCTTCTTGCGGCGGCGCTTCTTCTTGGCGGCAGGTTCGGGCGCGGGCTCAGGCTCGGGCTCGGGCTCAGGCTCGGCGACCTTCTTGCGGCGGCGCTTCTTCTTGGCGGCCGGCTCGGGCTCGGCAGGCGCCGCGGCGGCAGGCGCCGGTGTCTTCTTGGCGGCAGAGAAACCCATGATGTCGTCGTCGTCGTCGAGGAACAGGTTGTCGGCGTCAAGCGACGGGATCGGGGCCGTTGCAGCAGCCGCAGCCTTGCTCTCCGACTTGGAGGTGCCAAAGCCGGCGCCGAACAGATCGGCGTCGTCGCCCTCCCACAGCGAGCCGGTCTTGGCGCCTGAGCCCGTCCCGCTCAAGATCGATGCTGACTCGGGCCCAAACAGGTCGAGGTCGTCACCAAACGCCGAAGCGGCTGCCTTCTTGGGCTCCGGCTCCGGCTCCGGCTTTGGCTCCGGCTCGGGCGCAGCAGGCGCAGCAGGCGCGGCAGGCACGGCAGGCGCGGCAGGCGCGGCGGGCGCGGCGGGCGCGGCGGGCGCGGCGGGCGCGGCCGGTGCCGGAGGAGCAGCCGGTGCGGATGTACGTGCGGCGGGTGGATCATCAGCAAACAGGCCGTCGTCAGCAAACAGGTCGTCGCCAAACATGTCGTCGACTGCAGACGCAGCAGGCGCGGCAGGCGCAGCGGGCGCAGCGGGCGCAGCAGGCGCGGCGGCAGGGAACGCATTGTCGGCGCCCACGTCGCCAAACAGGGCATCGTCGTCACCAAAGATGTCGTCGGCGCCATCAAAGAGTGCCGTGGACGCCTTGGGCGCGGCAGGGGCGGCTGCAGGTGGCTGCGGGAAAAGCGAGGGTGCCGGCGGTGCAGCAGGCGGTGCGGCAGGAGGCGCGGCAGGCGGCGCGGCAGGCGGCGCGGCCGCAACCGGCTGACCGTCGGCGCCCATGACGGGCGGAAGACCGCCGGCGGGGAAGACCGGCGGAAGGTCGCCGATGCCGACTGGCGGGAGGCCCGACGACGGCGGCGGCGGCGGGGCAGGCGCCTTGGACGACGGCGGCGCGGTGGTGAACGGGTCCGAGAACAGGTCACCGCCGCCGAGCGTCGCGCCCGAACCGGTTGTCCCGTCGTCGAGGCCGGCAAAGAGACCGTCGACGGCCGAGCCGTTGGCGCCGGCAGGGACACCGCCGGCATTACCGGTCGAGCCGCCGCCAAAGCCCGAGAGCCCGAGGTCGTCGTCGTCCATGAGGCCGGTGCCTGGTGCACCCTTGGCGGCGACCGCATCGTTAGGTGCATCAGCGCCGCTGGCTCCGGTACCGTCAGTAGCCGGCGCATCGTTGACCTCGTCCTTACCCTTGCCTTTGTCCTTGCCCTTGCCCTTGTCCTTCTTCTTCTTCTTTTTCTTCTTCTTCTTCTTCTTCTTCTTCTTCTTCTTCTTCTTGTCCTTGCCCTTGCCTCCGCCATCGTCCGAGTACGCGTCCGAGTACGCCGGCGAGGCCGAGCCGGCACGGTCGGCGGCGCTGGCCTTGCGCAGCGGGTCTGCGACGTCGTCGTACGAGTACGCGAACGGGTCGTCGTCCGAGTAGACAATGGGTGGGTATGAGTACTCGCCCGAGTAGTCCTCAAAGTCTTCATCCTCATAGATGGACTCGGAGACCGACTCGGAGTACTCTTCGTGGAGCAGGCCGCAGGTCTCGTCGTCCATAAACGACGCGGTGCCGATGATGTATGGCAGCGGGCGCTGCGCGTAGCGCTCTGACGGCTTGAACCGCTTGCCAGCCAGCATGTCGGCCGGCCCGGCAATGTACTCTTTGCCGGTGACCACGTCGGCCGCACCCATGTCGGCCGCCGGCTGAAAGGCCTCGTCGACGTCGTCGTCGTCAAACAGGTCGTCGAGCAGGACGAGGCCGTACTCGAGCGCAGCCTTGAGCTTGGGCACCAGCTTGGCCTCCAGCTCACGCTCGCGGGCCTCTTGCAGCTCCGGATCGTTCTCTAGCGCAGCCTCGATCTCCGGATCCAGCGGCGGCTCGTCAGCCACGCCGGCCTTGCCGTTGCTGCTCTCGGCCTCATCCATGTACGTGTCGTCGACATACACCCGGTTCTCGATGAACTGGCTCGCCGAGAGCAGGTCAAACTCGTTAAAGGTGTTGCGAACGTCGACTTCCGCCGCCGCCGCCGCATTGACCAGGCCATCCACCTCGGACTCGAGCGCCTGCGTCCGATCCAGAAGCTTCCGCGCAAACTGCTGCATGTAGAGGAACAGCTGTGGGCCAACAGAGGAGGAGAAGGAGAGTACGTGGATGAGGGAGCGGATAGTAGTGGTAGTGGTGGTCCACCATTGCATGACAAGAGATACCAGCAGCAGTATCAGCAGCAGTATCAGCAGCAGTACCAGCAGCAGTACCAGCAGCAGTACCAGCAGCAGTATCAGCAGCAGTATCAGCAGCAGTATCAGCAGCAGTACCAGCAGCAGTACCAGCAGCAGTACCAGCAGCAGTATCAGCAGCAGTATCAGCAGCAGTATCAGCAGCAGTATCAGCAGCAGTATCAGCAGCAGTATCAGCAGCAGTATCAGCAGCAGTATCAGCAGCAGTATCAGCAGCAGTATCAGCAGCAGTATCAGCAGCAGTATCAGCAGCAGTACCAGCAGCAGTATCAGCAGCAGTACCAGCAGCAGTATCAGCAGCAGTATCAGCAGCAGTATCAGCAGCAGTACCAGCAGCAGTATCAGCAGCAGTATCAGCAGCAGTACCAGCAGCAGTACCAGCAGCAGTATCAGCAGCAGTACCAGCAGCAGTATCAGCAGCAGTACCAGCAGCAGTATCAGCAGCAGTATCAGCAGCAGTATCAGCAGCAGTACCAGCAGCAGTATCAGCAGCAGTACCAGCAGCAGGAGGAGAAGGAGGAGATATGGTGGTATGGTGGTGAGTGGTGGTGGTGGTGGTACAGGGGGGGAGGGGGGCTACATGGCTTCTTAGACACCCACACCCACACCCACACCCACACCCACACCCACACCCACACCCACACCCACACCCACACCCACACCCACACCCACACCCACACCCATGCCCATGCCCATGCCCATGCCCATGCCCATGCCTACCCATACATGTGTATGTGGTCTATGGGTACGGGTGTAGGTGCCTACCCCCCCCCCCCTCCCCTCCCGCCGTGTCGGCAAAAAGTCACACGCAGGCAGTGTGGGGAGGGGCATGGGCATGGACATGGAGGGAGATAGGAGAGGGTGAGAGGAAGGGAGAGCAGATAAGGAGAACGTACGCCTGTGTCTGCTGCAAGCGTCCAATGGCCATCACGCACAGCATCACGACACTTGCGCAGTGGCCATGGCTTGGTCGGGTTGGGGTACGCACGCCGCCGCGGGCGGTCGTACTCGTCAGAGTACGACATGGCCAGAGAGAGCAGTGATGACACGGGCTCATCATACTCAGGCCATGGCCATCTGCTCTCCGTCTCTCTCTCTCTCTCTCTCTCTCTCTCTCTCTCTCGCTCGCTCGCTCGCTTGCTCATCACATCCTCCATCTCATACGGCTCTAGCTCCGTCGAGGCCCTTGATCGTCACATGTGCTTCGCATCGGTCGTATTGGTGGGGATCGAGCCGGGGCGGGGGAGGTCGATGGTGGAGGGGACTGGGGATGGAGATGGGGGAAAGTAGGGAGAAGAAGGAGAGCTGGTTGATTTGCTTGTATTCCAACCATGCCCTTCCTCCCATCTCCACCCCCATCGCCTCCCCGGAGTAATCAATACCCCAACGATTAATGATGAGCACCCTCAACCCAAAATCAATACCCCAACGATTAATGACGACACCCTCAACCCAAAATCAATACCCCAACGATTAATGACGACACCCTCAACCCAAAATCAATACCCCAACGATTAATGATGAGCACCCTCAACCCAAAATCAATACCCCAACGATTAATGACGACACCCTCAACCCAAAATCAATACCCCAACGATTAATGACGACACCCTCAACCCAAAATCAATACCCCAACGATTAATGACGACACCCTCAACCCAAAATCAATACCCCAACGATTAATGATGAGCACCCTCAACCCAAAATCAATACCCCAACGATTAATGACGACACCCTCAACCCAAAATCAATACCCCAACGATTAATGATGAGCACCCTCAACCCAAAATCAATACCCCAACGATTAATGATGAGCACCCACCCCAAAGGTAAAAAATATTTGAACAATGGCTGCTGCTGGCAGGATGGTGCGGGAGAGTGTGTGGGGGAGAGGGGGGGCAACGGCTGTCTTTGTGAGGCACGACCACAGGCGACGGAGCAGGGGAGAGAGGCTACCTACCCATTGCCGACACGTACAGCAAGAGTACGGAAGAGATTGGAGAGAGGTACACCCGACAGGGACCAGTACCATACCCATCCCCATACCCACACCTATCTCCATACCCCCCCCCTCCCTCCCTCCCCCCCTCCCTCCCTCCCTCCCTCCCTCCCTCCGTCCGTCCTTCCCCCCTCCCCCTTGGGCGCACCACCCGTCGACGACTGGATACGACCCAGGCTGGCCAAGGCACCCACTACACCCTCCCATTACACCCAGCACACGGACAAGGCTAGAAGGTAGCCACTTGTTCAGCCATGGGTTGTGGTGCATCATCGCAACGACCGCTGCTGGACGAGGACGGACAGCCGCTGCCGAGACCACGGAGGCCGAGCACGCGGGCTATCGACGCAGATGGTCTCCATGCCTCCTCCTTCTATCTCCCCGACTCGCATACGGCTGCAACAGCTGGCGCTGATGGTCAAGCTCAGACTGGCTCGGGTGGAAATGCTGGTCCGTCTGGCTCGGCCTCGGGTCATGCCGGAAGCTCGGGCGGTCGCTCCCGCAACTCCTCGCCCTCGCTGGCCCGCCACAAGCGGAACGGCTCGGGTCATGCCGCTGGCCATGCTAGCCCTACCAATGATAGTCGTGGTGGCCGTAGGGCCGGCGCCGGGCGGTCGATGTCGCCGGCAGTCGTCGCTCCGCTTGTTGGCCGCTCGCGGACAAGCTCGCCTGCCAAGGTCCGCCACCCCGCACGGTGGCGACTGCCAAGGCCAAGGCCAAGGCCAAGGAGAGAGCAAATGCGAAGGAGCGGAGCAAGTTGAGCAAGGCCAAGGCGGAAAGGTCCTCCAAGGCCCCGCGGCCGCACCGCCGACCAGCTCGTCTCCCAACGGGCTGACTCGCCGTCAGCCCACGCACCGGCGGGCAATCTGCGGGCGTCGGCGAGGGCGCGGGAAAAGGTCCACACCAAACTCCGCGACAAGGAAAAGGCCAAGGCCAAGTCGACCAAGAGCCTGGGCGCCAACGGCAAGCACCGCAGGTCGAGCAAGGGCAAGTCGAAGAGCCGAACGTCGGGCGGCGGCGGCGAGCTCGACACCGACGAGGAGATCTCGATCGAGCGCGACTTTACCGAGCGACAGGCGACGCTGGGCGTCAACGGATACCGGCTTGTCGGGATGCGGCAGACCGGGCGGACGGTCAAGGTCACCTGGTCTGTGCGTGAGCCTGTGGACCGGCCGGCGAGCAAGAAGAACGGCGCTGTGCCCTCTCCGGAAGTCTCGGCGGCGGCGGCCAACGGAGCGCAAAAGTACGACTGGGTGGGCCTGTTCCCCACGGCGTCTGCGCTCTACCTCGACCTCTCATCGTATGTTGCGTACCAGTACCTGCGGCGCGGCGAGCACGAGGGCCAGGTCGAACTCTCCCTGCCCAAGCATGAGTCCAAGCCACGGACCATGTACGTGGTGGCCCTCATCCGGTCGGACGAGCACCTGTCGGCCGGTGGCGTGGTGGAGGATGCCATTGTGCTGGACATGAAGCGCCAGATCGGCGCGCGTGGCCTGCGATCAGACTACAAGGTTGCCGTCCAGTCGGCGTCGACAAGCTCGGTGACGCTGCTGTGGAAGGCGCCGCTATCCCGCGGCTCGTCCGACTTTGTCGGCTTGTACAAGCCGGCCGCATCCGATGCCTCCTACGAGGCGTACTCGTACCTGCGGTCGAGCGGGAAGGACTCGGGTAGGATCAAGCTCGATGGCCTCTCGCTGGCCAAGACCGGCACCTACCATGTCCGCCTCGTTCGCTTCCGCTCTGGCCGCGCAGCGTCGATCTTCCCCTTCCGCCTCCACAACGGTGTGCTCGCCGCCTCGACGTCGGCCTCGTCGCGAGTCGTCCCGTACCAGCCGGCCATGGCCGATACCGGGACGCCAATCGACTCGAACCACGACAGCGATTTGCTCGCCCAGCCGCAGCCGAAACGCAAGCTCGTCAAGAGCTCGTCGCGCGAGCGCTTTGCCAACACCCAGGCTACTGCCCTGGTGGCCAACGTCGAGTCGCGGTTCCGGCTGGCGGCTACCGAGCGCGAGCGGCTGCAGAACATGATCAAGGACGTGGCGCTCATTAAGCTCGAGCCGCTTGAGCGGGTCTCCATGCCCAAGTCACGGTCGGGCATCCAGTCATGCGCCGAGCGGCCGGCGCCGACAGATGAGGGTGCGACGACCGCGCGCGGGCGCAAGACCACTGCGCTGTCGTCGGCCGGGCCAGCCGGTGACGACTCGTCGGCCTCGCCTTCGCGCGAGTCGGCCATGGCTGTCAAGCTCCGGTCGGTGGCTGACAAGCTCCGGCTGCCGGCCGACTTTGTCCTCCCGCCCACCGAGCCGATTCCAGCGGACCTCGGGCTTGACAAGATGGGCTCTGCGGTCGAGACTGCGAACCCGATTGTTTCGCCACTGTATTCGCTGGTGGTCGGCGTCATCACGCCGACCTCCCTCTCAGTGGCCTACGAGGCACCGGTCGGCCACTCGGGCTCCGACTATGTGGCCCTGCAGCGGGCCGACAAGGCACCGCATGCCAGCGAGACGACCGAGCCGACGCTGCCCATGTCGCCGTACCAGCTGCAGGACGACGGCAACGCGGCGCTGGTGGGCTTTGACTTTGCGCATCCGCGCGGATGGAAACTTGTGTTTAAGGACATTGCCCTCGTCAACCGCGAGCGGTACATGCTGAGCTACGTGTCGGCGACTGATGGCGGGCGGGTGGTGAGCCAGCTCGAGTTTACCGCTGACCTGCCTGTCTAGCTCTCGCTAGCAGGCGCGTCCTCGGCTGGTCCGGCTCCCGCACCCACTCGCGGAAGGTGGACAAAGACGTGGACGGCGGCGCGGGTGACTACGACAAACTCGGGCGAGCCGTCGGCGGAGAGGTCGACAAAGGCAAAGGAGAGGACCGGTCGCGAGAGGCGGAGGCGTGAGGCGAGCTCAAAGTCGAGATCGCCGGCGACCGCGCTCCCCGACACCGAATACACCCATAGCTCCTTCTCATAGGTCGAGACCACCAGCTCATTGACACCCGACGCAGTGAGATCGGCAAAGCCGAGGCCGGTAATCGAGTTGTACTCGTGGAGCGGCGGGAGGGCGAGCGGGAAGCGGGCGTCGAGGGTAACGAGCGGGTGCGGAAAGACCGTGACCGAGCCGGCCGACCCGCCGGCAACGAGATAGAGGTCGGGCGCGGTGGCGGCAAGGGCCGCAATGTGGTCTGCCACGTCCGGGTGTGCCGCCGCAAGCAGCGCGGCGTCGCCCGGCGAGAGAGGCGGCCGCGAAAAGGAGAGCGCAGAGACCGGGCCGTCGATCCACCCCGACTGCGGCGGGCTGCCCGCGGCGAGCGCGTCGACGTACCCGACCTGGACGCGGCCGTCGTCAAAGCCGACCGCGAGGAGGGTGCCATCGGGTGACGGCGCTATGTCTGCCACAACAACTGACGCCGCCGCATCGCCGGCCCGGTTGAGGGCGGCAAACGGATGCGCGTCGGCTGCGAGCTCGATGACCGGCAGTTGCTCCGGAAGCGATGCCAGGTCGTCGGGCAGTCGCCACCCGTCGCCGTCACCTACCGCATAGGCGTGGATGACGCCGTCCGAGCCCGATACCGCCACCGCCAGCTGCGGGTACGCAGCGACAAGCTGCTGCGGTGGAATGAGACAGAGCGGAAGATATGGCAGCGGGAACGAGGCTACCACGACTGCATCAAAGGCCGTCGGTCGATCTGCCGGCGGAACGACCACAAACGAGAGTGAGCCCACCGCCCACGACAAGGTCGTCGACGAGACCGGTACCGAGAGAAGCGCCCCGCTGCCCGAGGTCGACGTGGTAGCTTTGGGCGAGGTCGACGACAAAGTCGATGTTGATGGCGTCGTTCTGGGCAGGCCCGATGACGCAGCGGCGGCTCTGGTCGATGACGCAGCGGCGGCTCTGGTCGATGACGCAGCGGCAGCTCTGGTCGATGACGCAGCGGCGGCTCTGGTCGATGACGCAGCGGCAGCTCTGGTCGATGACGCAGCGGCAGCTCTGGTCGACTCAGCAGCGGCAGCTCTGGTCGACTCAGCAGCGGCAGGGGAGGCCGACTGTGGCGATAGCTGCGGCGATTGAGCGGATTTGTCGTCAAAGGCGCGGTCATCAAAGGGACGAGAGGGAACGAGAGCGAGAGCAACGAGGGCATACTCCGCTGCCTGGTGTACGAGTGCAGCGGCAATGATGTCATGATCAGCAAGATGAACGAGCTCACTCCGCCCTGCCCCACCACGAGCACCATACCCAACCCAGCAGAGGCCATGGAGCTCAGCCATGAGCACTCCCGTCCCTTCCACAGCTGCTGCAAGCGAGTGCACATTGTGCTGACTCCCCGCACGCACAACGTCCGCATGCACAATCGGCAGGGCCATGCTCATCCTTCCCAGGACGTCCGTCGGTCAAGGGGGTGGAGGGGGATGAGGGGGGGTGGGGGGGTTGGGGGGGGTTGGGGGGTTGGGGGGGGTGAGGTGGTGGTCATCGTGATCGTGATCGTGATCATGATCATGATCATGATCGTGATCGTGATCGATCACACCAGCACCGGGGTGGGTGAGGGAGGGGAGGGAGGGGAGGAGGGTTTGTATGTATGCGTGTGTGTGTGTGTGTGTGTGTGTGTGTGTGTGTGTGTGTGTGTGTGTGTGTGTGTGTGTGTGTGTGTGTGTGTGTGTGTGGTGGGGATTAGTTGGTGGTGGTGGGTATGGCTGAGGCGCAGACTGATGTCCTCTCGCGACTGGTCTCGCCAGCGAGCTCGGGAGTGACCGAGGCAAAGGAGCTGGTGCAACGGGTGGCGGTGGAACGAGGTGGTGGACAGACGGAGGCTGATGGCTTTGTCTCTCTTTGTGATCCGCTCACTGATTTGGATCTCGAGGCGTTGTTTGCTCGTTCCGAGGTGGCGTTGGCAATGGCAAGCGCTACAGACTCGGCCGTTGGCAAGTGTGAGCATGGGCCACCTGTGGACGAGGTCCACGCCATCGCCAACAGGATCGGCTCAATCGACGACAAGAACCACATCAAGAACCATGCCATCGACGACAGGAACCATGCCATCGACGACAGGAACCATGCCATCGACGACAGGAACCATGCCATCGACGACAGGAACCATGCCATCGACGACAAGAGCCACATCATCACCGACAAGAACCAGATACAAACCCAGAACAAGGCTCAGGCTGCCACCGCCGCAAGCAAGAGGGCACAGGCTATCCTGGCAAAAGCGTCTTCAGAGGCAAGGCAGAAGCTGGCTGATTGGGAGGCAAAGAACCATCGGTCTCGGCCAGCAGTAGGTCGTCCGCCGCGGTCGTCGACTCGCGTAGACCAGGCCAGCGAGCCGGCTGTGGAGCGCGCCTCGACAATCGAGGCTCGGCTCCTGCAGAGCCCTCTCCCGTTGGCCGCAACAAGTGGGGCACCATTCACGGCTAGGCACAAAGCCCAAAGGTTGTCCGAGGCTAGACTTTTGGCACAGTTGCGGCTCAAGATCGAGTACGTCGAGGCCCAGTTCTCCGGGGGCAACGGCAGCACATCTGCCGTTGACAGTGCCTTCATCCACCGTGTCATGGCGGCGGAGCCGACCGAAGCAGAGACACTTGAGCTGACACGTGGCTTCTCGGTCCCTTGGTGGCCGGAATGGCATCCGACTCAGGATGCCATGAACAAGCTCAGCCTCCACATCCTCTACCCTGCCTTCTGCCAGCAGCGCGAGGCACTGCCGTGGTCCAACGAGTCTATGTTGCCCGGCAGGAAGGCTGGCCGCGTTTGTTGCGCCGCCGCAGAGCCACCGCCTCGCGATCAAGTCGTCGCGCCGATGGAGGTGAGCGCGCCGCCACCCACCACTTTGACGGCCACTCGGCCGCGTCCGGTTGCAGCCACTGTCAACGCCGCCTCCGCACACAGCCCGGGGACGAGAGTATTCGATACCACCATCATCCCGTCCTCCCTCACACGCTCCAATCTAGCAAGGCTCTGCCACCGCCGCATGGCCGCGTTCTCGCCCTCTGTTTCCGGCGTTGCATGGGACGACGTCCGCAAGCCGCGGAAGGTTTTGATGGCTCTCTACCGAAGCCTACCTGGTGCACTCTCCGAAGCCGATGAGGCCGAAATCATCGACGCCACTACAAGCTACGTCGTCATCTCGGCCTGGCAACGCCCGCGTCTCAAACTCCTTCTTGCCAACGAGCGAAAGCCCGACGGTTCGCCGTACTCTCTCATTGGTGACGACGAGGCCTTGGCCCAGCGTCTTGTTCAGGCTCGGCTCAACCGCGCGCACCCGTGCCGGCCGGCCTCGGCCATGGCTCAGCCCTGGCTTCTTGCACGTTTCCGCACTGATGACGCAACCCTCTACGCAGGCATCGATCCTGTCAGCGTTCTCCTCACCGAGGTCGATGCGCTCATGACTGCCGGCAACCGCCAGTGTTTGCCAGCCTCCCGCTCGACCTCCTCACCTCTCTCGACCGTGCTCTGCGTCCTGGCCGCTGGCGCGCCGCGCCCGGAGAGACTCATCATCTCATCGATGCCGTCACCCACGCCTCGATGTGCCGCGCCCGGTACGCTGCCGCCGCCGCCAACTTTGTTGCCGGCCCGGCGCGTCCTCGAGCAACCTTTCCATCCTCGTCTCTGCTGTGCCAAACGAGCTCATCGTCTACCTTTTCTCGTTTCTCTCCTCCGCCTCGTACCGCGCCTTGGCCTCGACCTGCCGCCGGCTGTGGCAGCTGGCGCACGACACACTTATTCTCCAGCGCCTCCTTGTCGTGCACACGCCGAACTCTGCCATGGACTCGGTACCTCTCTTTGTATGGTATGCCTCGGGTATCGCCGCTTGTGGCCTTCCGCTCCGCAGCCTCCCGTCGCCGCCATGTTCGCCGGCGGTCGTCGTCCTTGCCGTTCAGCTTGCCGCCTCGCGCCCGATCTCTGTGCCGGAGCAGCTGCTTGCGTCAATACCACTCACCTTGCTGAATGCGCTCGCTGCCCAAGTCGGTATGAACCTTCGCCGCGCTATCCGCAAGGTTCTTGCTGCTGCCCACAAGGCCGCAGTCCGGCACGACCTCGTCCTGCGCGCGCTCGGCGCTGACTCGCTTCATGCCGCGGTTCCTAACGTGGTTGCAGCAGGCGATGTCGAGCTCACGTGCCTCACTGACTTTGCATGGGACATCGATGCGCCCGAGTGCGTCCGTCAGGCTCACGTTGTGGCCGACCTTCTTCGCCGACGCGAGGAGCGGCTTGTCCTCGCCGCCTCGGCCAAGTTCACGGCTGCCGACATCGAGCGCTACGTTGACCCAATTGTCGCCTCGCACTATGTTGCCCTTGTCGGCTCACGATCGCTTGACGAAACCGTGACAAAGGCGCTGCGCGAGATGATCGCCACTTTTAACCGGCGCCTCGACCCTCTTCAGCTTAACTTGGACAACATGCTCGCTGCTTGCCCGCGCCTTGCTTCGCTCAGCATCGACAGCAACGGCTACCTTGTCATGGATCCTGCCGCTGCGCCAGCTTGGGACATTCAGGCCTTTATTGCGCTGCCGCTGTGGCTGCGGACCGAGGTCCGCGCCATCATCAGTGGTCAGCAGCCGGTCGTCCTCTTGGGCAGCGACATTGGGGCGCTTGTTGAACTCGGCTTGGCGTGCAGGACCACGACGCCACTCAGTATGAAGCCGTCGAGCCGCGCGGCAGCCTCACGAGCCATGGTCCAGCTCCGCCGGTGCATTGCCCGTGAGGCCCTGCTCACCGGCGAGTACAGAGCCATCGTCAACGAACTCCCGCTGGTCCTCGAATCGCCGGCCCACCTTGACGCCCTTATCGAGTACACCGGCAAGCGGGCCGAGTCCCGCACCCGCAAAAAAGTTGCTGCTGAGGTTGCTCGGCTTACTAAGGCTGTTGCCCATGGCTGGACTCGCCTCCAGGCGCTCCTCGACGCAGGACTGGGGTGGTGGACCGCCGATCGCGGCGTGTATCTCAAGGCTCCACCGTCGCGAGAGGCGCGGCTCTCCGACTTTCTTGTTTTACGTGGCCGCAACGTCGAAGCCATCATTTGTACCGACTCGTGCCTCGGCACTCCGCCTGCGCTCTGCACTCTCTCTGCTCTCATTGTGGCCTACGTAGCCGATCCCCGGGCGCAGGCTCTGACACCAAAGGAGGTGTTGGATGTTGCTGACGCGCTGTGGACCATTCCCCTCGGCCCCGACTCGGCGCTGTATGCCAAGATCAAAACCGTCCGCTCGCCCAAGGCCACCCGCGCCGTCCTCCGGCAATGGGCCACGCTCTGGGAGATTGTGGTGCCCAAACTCCGGCTTCTCCCGGCGAGCATGCCGAAGGTCATTGCCCGCTGGATCGACTCGCTGCAGCGCTGCGACGCCCTGAGTCCTGACGCATTGACTCGCATCACAGCCTTTGTCTCCATGCTCACCCGGGACTCGGTAGCGGAATGCCTCGCCCATGAGCGCGTCGGCCCACCAATGGCGATGTCACTCGCTGACGCGTTAAGGCTGCCTCTGGGGCGCAAGACCGGCGCGTACGCAGAGGCGGTTGCTTGCTGTCTTACCTCTGCCAGGGCTTGGATCAAGTGGCTCGCCACGCCGCTTCCTCCGGTTGACGCCTCAGTCTTTATCGACGCCACTGTCACCGCGGCTATGAACAGCGCACCGGCAGGCCCAAATGGGCGGCTGACTGAGCTAGGTCAGGGCGCCAGCGTCGACGAGCTCGTGGCCCGCACCAAGGCCATGGCGCGGTACCAATCGTGGTATGCCGAGCTTGACAAGGCACTTATGTGTGCGGATCTGCTCCGCGGAGCCGACGCCGACGACGCCAAGGCGCTGCTGGCCAAGGCACCCAACGGCTGCGGCCGCGATCTGAACGTTGCCGACCGGGCGCGGGCACGGTCGCTGGTGGACACGGCCCAGCAGGCACTTGAGGCTGCGGCCGCCTGCCTCACCCAGCCCGAGGTCCTCACCTCGCCTGCCAAGGTCTCGAGGTATCTCAAGCTGCTGGGCAAAATGATGGAGGTGCCGGCCGGGCTCAGCAAGCTGATTGCGGCCGAGTACGCCCGAACCGAGCTTACGACGTTTGCCGAGGCCGCCGCAATCGGCGCGTTTGTCATCCTCGGCGGTGAGACGTATCGCGAGCTGACCAAACTTTTTCCCGGTGCGCGTGCTGTCGACATCGGGAGTCTCGCCGTCGGGCTGACCGGCAACCTGCTCCCGGGGTGTGTCCCGGCGCCGATCCGGCACTTTGAGGAGACGACTCACGTGGTGGCCATCACCAACGCCCACGCACGGCGGCTGCAGTGTCCGCACTGCTACTGGTCGTACGACGTGGAGGACCGCGATGGCTTTGTCGCCCATGCTGTCGCCAAGCACAACCTCTGCTCCGTCAGACTCTGGAATCTTGTCGGCCGTGTCCCCCGCGGGTCCGCGCCGACGACGTCATCCGGAAGGCCCGTCGCAAGGCCCGACGCAAGGCCCGGCGCAAGAGCAAGAACAAGGGCAAGAAGAAGGGCAAAGGAAAGCGAAAGCAAGCACAGAAGCCGACGCAAACAAGCAAGGCATCTGCACATGCACCCAAGTCCCGTGGCTGTTGACCGATCAGTTCCCACAGTGGCAATACACACACGGTGCGGTGATATGATTAGCGAGTGTGGTTGATCATAGGAATTACATGCGCGGTGTGACCGACATAGACGACGGATGTGATCCACACAGGCTATATACACTACATCCGAGGCAGAAAGGAAAGGCGCTCTTAGTGATGCATATCATGAATGTAGTGTCTGTGTGTTTGTTTGTGTGTCTCATTATTGTGTATGTGTGTGCACATGTGTGTATGCGTGCGTGTGTTGAGTCTCCCAGTCAAAACCCATTTAAGGAGCGGACGCTATTGAACCGATGGCCACATGACTACCACGAGCACAGTCTGTGTCTGAATGCGTTCATCCTATGCTGAAAATACCCGATCCCGTCTCGCTCTCGGAAGTCAAGCAGCATGAGGCTTGGTTAGTACTGTGGTGGGGGACCACACGGGAATACCGAGTAACGCATTCTTTCTTCTTTTTGCCCAACTACACACCCTCCTTGCATGCATGCACCCACCCCCCCTGACCCCACCATCGCCACATCAATCATTTCTCGTTCAATTAATCATGACCAGCTCCATCAATTAACTCTCATTGAAATAATCATACCTTACCACCTTACCCACCCCCACCTACATACCACCAACCCCCGCCAAATTATTGTAAAATATTTTCCATCCCCCCCCCCCCCCCCCGTACGTGACCCACGTGGGTGCCAGCCGCTATCTCCCGCACCCAACAGCAGCTCAGCACCTTCTACCTCCCCCCCCCCGGCTCCTCCAATCTGACCCCACACTTCTCCAGACAGACCGCTGTGTGGAACCAGCAGGAGGCGATGTCTCTGTGTAGTTCAAGGTGTGGAACGGCTGGTGCGAGAAAGTCGGTCAGTCTGTGGGCAAGTATCGGGCCAGCTCGGTGGTGGCAGCGGCGGAGGTGGGGTTCGTGGGTGGTAGCGGCGGTGCTGATTGCCTTGGCATGGCGACCAGTCGTGGTGGTTGGGAGCATGGATTTCTCGGCACAGCCGTCGGCTTCAAATATTTACCGTGAAGTCTCGGCATCACTTCCCTCTTCGGACTTTACCATCGAGTTCTGGTATCGGACCGGCGATGTGGACACGTACCAGAACTTTATTTCCGTCTGCAACGGCGGCGACAGCGGCTCGCATCCGCTCAACATCGGTGTGGACAGGAACAATGTGTGCGACTTTATGTTTGCCACGAGCCTCCACAAGGCCAACGGCCTCTGTCCCGTCGACGAAGAGTGGCATCACATGGCCGCGGTCATCACGGCATCGCCGCCGCTGGGAAGCTTGTGGATCGATGGTAAGCTCGCTATGGGTCCGTACGAGGCCGTGGAGACGCTTGCCACCTCGGGCCTCACCATCGCTCTCGGCAACGATCTCGACGGCTCATCGTGTAGTCCGACAGACGCCAATCAGGCGAGTGCGGGCTTCATGGCCGAGCTCCGCTTCTGGTCGTACGCCATGAATGCCGGCGACATTGCCCGCGTCATGGCCGGCCCGGTCTCCCCCACGGCGCCCAACCTGGTGCGGTACTACAACTTTGGGGCCGCCGACGACTTTGTCAATCCACTGCAGATGGCCGCGGGTATGGCATCGCCGCCGCCAATGTCGCCGTACTCAAGCCGGCCCATCTACTCGCCGATCAGCCCGTACCAGCCGCGCATCCCGGTGCCGGACCTCACCCCGCCAGTCCTCGCCAGGACAATGGTCGCCGCGACCACGCCCGACAACATCCGCTCGTGCACCGTGGTTGATCTGAACGGCGACGGGCTGAGCGACATTGTGGCCTCGCAAGCAACAGAAATGAGCGTTCCAGGGCAGAACTCGCTCTTCTTTGTCCTCAGCCACGACAACGGCACCACATCGGCGCCGATCTTTGTCTCGGATGGCGTCCGGCTCGCTGCTGTCGCCGCCAAAGACGTGTCTGGCAACGGCGTCCCAGACATCTTTGTGTACAACGAGGCCAGCTCCCGAGTCGACGTCTACCTGGGCACGATGGCAGCTGGCAAGCCGAGCTACGCAGCGGCGCCGTACACAAGCGCTATCGCTGTATCCACAACGACCCTCGTCCTCGTCCCGGATCTCGACGGCGACGGGCTCGCTGACGCGCTGTATGTCTCCGGCACTAGCCTCGGGTGGATCAGCTTTGCGCCTAGCCCGCCAACCAGCACAACGCTTTTCGGCGCGTCGGACATCTCGCTTGGCCTGGCTGGCGAGGTCAAGGATACGCCGATCATGGCCGATGTCAACAGCGACGGCCTCGCTGACTTGCTCTACATCCGAGAGGTCGGCGGATGGGAGCGGTTGTACGCGGCGGTGCGGACAACCTGGCCTGCAGTGGCCTTTGACACCGGCTCGCCCGTCGTCCTCACCACCAACACTCGCCGGATCTACCTCGCCGATCTCAACGGTGACGGCCTGCCGGAGATCCTCACCTCCAAGACCCAAGCATGGGATGTGTGGCAGATCAACGGCGACGTGAGCGTCAGCTACATCTCTACCATCAACCCGAGCATCGCGGGCACGGCCTCGCACCTTGTCTTTACCGACGTTGACTACGATGGCTTCGTTGACGTTGTCTTGGGCTTTAACCACGTCACTTCGGCCGTCATCGTCTCCCTCCAGCGCGGCAATATGACCTTTGCTCGCGGCGCCAGCTACGGCATCGACTCGGTCTCAGGCGCTGCCTGCATTGGCGCCGGCGTCTTTGAGCCCAGCTCACCGCGGCAGCTTATCTCTGGGGCGAGCATGGCTGGCGGCGCGCTGGCGTCCGGCGACATGGCGCTGTGGTACACCGGGCCGATCGCCTTGTTGGACGACGCATTGTCGGCCATCTCATTGGCGTCCGACTCGAGCACGTGGTGCGCGTCGGGCGAGGTGCCGGACGTTGTGGCTTCGGATCTCAACCACGACACGGCCATCGATCTGCTGGTTGTCTGCAAGAGCAACGCCACGACAATTGCGCTCTACGGCGATGGCAGCAGTGGCTTCCTGTCACCGCGGGTGCGGACGCCTCCGCCGTCCATGGCGGCATTGGCGGACGTTGCGCTCGCGGACATCAACTCGGACGGCATGCTGGACGTGATCGCCATCTCGGCCGATGGCTTGCTTGCCGTCTCGCTGTTTGTGAGCGTCAGCACTACGCCTCTGCCCGCCGATCTCGTCACCGTCTCGACTACTGCTGCTGTCGGCACGCCGACGAGCCTAGTTACGGTCGATGCCAATGGTGATGGCGACGTCGACGTTGTTGTCGGCGGGTCGGCCGGCCTTGCCATCCTCCTCAACGCCGGCATTGACTCGAGCGCCTCGTCGCCGCTTGCCGGGCCTGGCGTGCTGCTAGCCGTTGGCGTGCCGGGCGTGACTATGCTCACTACCGCCGATCTGAGTGGTAGCGGGAGTGCGTCTGATCTGGTCTGGCTCAGCAGCGGGAGCCAAAGTGTGTACCTGGCAACGATCAACGAGAGCGCAACGAGTCCGAGCGCTGTGTACGCCAGCCACGGCGAAGTGGCGCTGGGCTCGGATCCCACCACGATCTGTGTGGGTGAGCTCAATAGCAACACCATCAGCGACGTGGTAGTGGCCATGGCCAACGGAACGATCCTGGCGCTTGTTGATGGCAACGGGAGCAACATGCTTGTGCTTGGCACCGATCTTGCTGGGCCCATCCACCGGGTGGCCATCGTGCCGATGGCGGTTGGATTTGGCCACGTGGTGGCCACGAGGAGCACCGACAACGTGTGGCTGGGAGCCCTTGCGCCGCATCGCCCCGACTATCGGACCTTCCACAGCTCGGCGAACGGTGTGGTGGCCGACATCAACTCTGATGGCATCGACGACGTCGTGGCCATGACCGCCAGTGGTGGTCGCGTCCATCGCGGAAGCCGCAGCCTCGGGTTTCGCGCCCGAAGCTTCCCGAGAACACTGCCCGAGTGCGGCGGCGTGGCCGGCTCGATTGTGTGCCTCTCGGCGCGGGCAGCGCGGGCACCGGCCGGCTACCACTTGGAGCTTGACGATGTGCCCCAAAGTGGATCGCGATGTGTGCGGGCGAGTGGCGAGGCTGGGTACCATACGCTGCGGCGCGACGTGGTCATCGGGCCGGGCACCATCGACTGTGGCGGCTACGGCGGCGTGCTGTACAGTGTGAGCTCATCGGCGACGGTGACGCTAGATCATGTGGTGATGACCTCGCGCGCGAGCGATGCGCCTGTGCTTCGCCATAGCGAAGCTGGCGCTGCGATGGTGGTCGAGCCGTCGGCGACGCTGATCATGACCAATGTGAGCATGACCGGGTTTGTGGCGCGGGCCGGGACCGAGGTCCGATCGTCGGCGGCGGTGCTCGGGGGAGCGCTACGGATCCGCGGGAGCCTCATCGCGCGCAACGTGAGCTTCACCCACTGCGCGGCGAGCCAGTTTGGCGGCGCCGTGGCTGTTCAGGCTACCGGCGCGGCCGATCTGGTCGACGCGGTGTTTGAGAGCAACTCGGTGCTTGATGGGCCCAAGACGGCGGTGGCTGGCGGCGGCGCCCTGGGCGTGGCGGCGGCATCAAGCTTCTCCTGCACCCGATGCGCTTTCTACAACAACGTGGCGAATGGAGAGGGCAACGGCGGCGGAGCGGTGGCGCTCCGGGCCATGGTCATCAGCGTGACGATGGCCGACTCGGTGTTTGTGGGCAACTCGGCAGCGCACGGCTACGGCGGCGCTGTCCTTGTCGAGTACGATGGCTCGGGAACGACGACGACGCTTGCGCGCTGTAGGCTCGAGGCGTCGTACGCGCGGATGGGCGGGAGTGTGGCTGCAGCGGTGACAAGCGTTCTGGCCATCGGCGCCGGCTCGGCCGTCCCGCCCAGCTCCTCCATCAGCATCCTCTCGTCGTCGTCGCGGTTGGCGCTCCCGGACACGGTCATTGTCTCGTCGGGCGCGCGATATGGCGGAGTGGCACTCTCTTGCGGCGCGGTGGTCGATCTGTCGGCGTCCGATCTGGCGGCGACGACCATCTCCTACGAGCAGGCCGGCGGAGTGTGGTTCCAGTGTCCGCCGCTGGGCTTGGCGGCGGTGATAGTGGGCGGGAGCGTGGCTGATGCGATGACGAGCAACAGGCAGGCATACGGCCCGGCGCGGGCGTCAGCCGCGGTGTCAATGACGTGGTCAGGCTCCGGATCTGTCCTCCGTCAGGCGTCCGGGATCGCGCTGGGCGCCTCCGGTGGCGTTCTTGTGGCGAGCGATGTGTTTGGGCAGACGGTGACCGACGACTTGGTGACGATCAGCTTGCGGAGCGCAAGCAGCATGGCAGAGGTCTCGCCGGACCAAGCCGAGTGGGACGGATCTAGCGGCGGGTACTCGCTCAAGCGGATCGGGGTGGAGATCAGCGGCGGGTTCTGGCCTGCCGAGCTGGACAAGGCCCACGATGTGGTTGCCGAGCTGCCGAACGGCGAGGCGGTGTTGGTGCCTGTGGTGGTGAATGGGTGCCCGGTCGGGTTTGGAGCGACGAGCGCGGTGCGATCCGAGGCGCTGGTGTGCGTGCCGTGCACGGGCGCGACCGAGTCGACCGAGATCTCGGTCGAGCCGTGCACCATCGTGCCGTCGTGCACCGGGACGGGCTGGCCGATCGACGGGGTCTGTGTCGACTGCCCAGCCAACACCATCCGGCTGGCAAGGGGCAACGCCACAGCGGGCGCCGTACCGCCGTGCGTGTGCGCAGCTGGGTTCTGGAACGCCGAGTCGGCGGCGGACTTGGCGTGCGAGGCGTGCCCGACAGGAGCGAGCTGCGCGGGCGGTAGCGGGCCATCGGCAGCGCCATACGCGCGCAAAGGGTACTATCGGGTGCGGGAAGGCGAGTTTGCCGAGTGTTTGATCAAGGAGGCTTGCATCGGACGGTCGCAGTGCGCGCCACAGTACGCCACAGGCTCGCTGCTGTGCAAGGACTGCGCGTCCGGGGCGTATCGGCAGCCTGATGGCGGGTGCCTCTCGTGTCCGCAGGCCGCGGCTTCGCTTTTGGGAGTGATGGCGGTAGGCGTGGTACTGGCGGCGGTGGTGGCGTGCGTGCTGGCGGTGATGGCGGTGAAGGAGTTCCAGAAGCGCGAGGAGAGTGAGTCTGTGCAGAGCTCACGGGTGCCGCACACGCTCTCGCTGGCGGTCATCTTCTTCCAGATCTTGGGCATGCTGGCAAAGGCGCCGTTCAACTGGCCGCAGCCGCCGGTACAGCAGATACTCGAGGCAGCCAACGTGGCAAACGTCGACATCTCTGTCTTTGCCGTCGATTGCTCTGTCCCAGCTTTTGCCGTCCGCTACGCCATGAGCATGGTGCTGCCTGGCCTGTTTGGCCTGTTTTCGTCGGCTTTGTCACGGTGGTCAAGTACACGACCTGGCTCTCGTGCGGCTGCTTTGCCGCCATCGATCGCCAGCGCATGAGCATTGTCGACATCATTCGCTGGGCGCTCTTCTCGTTTGGCCCGCTGGTGTACATCCCGCTCTCGCGGTCGACGCTCGACTACTTTGACTGCACGCAGTACCCCGACGGCAAGTGGTACCTCGACTCTGAGCCGTCTGAGGAGTGCTTTACGGGGCGATGGGCTCTGGGACTTCCGCTCGCTCTTATCGGCCTTGTTCTGTATGTCATCGCTATGCCGATGGTCTTTGCCGCTGTGCTGTACAAGTGGCGGGCCGAGCTCGGCAGGGCGCACATTGTGCTCCGCTACGGCGCCTTGTACTCGGTCTTCCGCAAGCACTACTACTTTGCCGGCGTGGTGTTTATGATCAAGCGGCTGACCATTGTCATCTTCTCGGTCTTTGCCTCCAACGTGCACATGATCCTTTTCACGGGCTTGCTCGCCGTCTTTGTCACCTCGATGCTGATGGTGAGCAAGCACGCGCCGTACCTCTACCAGCCGCTCAACGACATTGAGCTCAAGCTCGACCTGTGCATCATTGCCTTGCTTGTCGCCGGACTGCTGTTCTGGGTCGACGAGTTTCCCAACCAGACTGTGTATGTCATCTTTGTTGTGGCCGTTGTCGTCGTCATCGGCTTTGCCCTCGCCACCCTCATCATCGGCTGCCTCTTCGAGGCCCAGCATCTCCGCAACCGGGCCCGTGTGGTGAGCGGAAGCCAGGGCATGGGCTTTGGCCGCGATGAGCTCCTCTTCAAGGTTGTCCGCAAGCATGCACCCGATCTCTCGCCGCACCTCCGCAGCGCGCTCAACAAGCTCGATGCCGCGACGGTAGCCAGCGACAGCGTGGCCCAGAGCGTGCTTTGCCACGACTCGCCGTGGGCCGTTGAGCTGCTCGAGCGGCCCAACTCGGCGCCAGGGAGCGAGGATGAGACAAGCGGATCGGGATAAAGGAGAAGGTGTTACGACAAAGAGCTCTAAGAGGGGGAGGAGGATGAGGAGGAGGAAGAGCATGTGCGGGCGGATGCTGCGGCCGGGGTCAGGGAGGCGACGGGCGACGACGGCATTGGGGGAGCCGGAATGGCGACGGCGGGAAGCGAGGCCATCGAGTCGACCGACTGGAGCGAGTGGAGGGCAAGGGCGTCAGTGGTGTCGTCGACGTCTGTCCACGAGCTCGCCACATGAATACGGTCTCCGTTGGTGAAGACCGGGTTAGTGACCGAGGCAACTTGGTGGTTCGAGTCGTTGGCGTTGACGACGGCATCGGGCACGGCGGAGAGGATAGCACCGTCGGCGGCATAGCCAAAGTCGGCATACGTGGCGTCCTCGCCGTCGGCAAGGTCCTTGTCTGCAGCGGCGTGGCGGCGATAGATGAGGATGGCATCGACGACGACACCGGCGACGATAGCGACGACGTTGATGACAATGGCGGTGATGGCGACGAGGGTCCGCGAGGCGCCAGCGTCAAAGGTGATGGACCAGAGGATTGCGGCGCAGGTAGCGAGACAGAAGAGCGCAAGGATGTTGTGGAAGGGCGAGGCGTAGGGCTTGCGGTCGAGGAGGTGGCAGAACCAACTCATGAGGGCAAAGAGGGCGACGTTGGCCTTGACTCTCGGCGAGCGGAAGACGGTCATAGCGAGGACGACGCTCGCCTTGCGGGCCATGATCCAGACCTCGTAGCGATAGGCGCGCGGGAGGAAGCGGCCGACGAGAAAGGCGTAGCGGAGGCTGAAAAGGATGCTGTCGCTCTTGGCGCGGACACGGGTGAGGAGCCAGTAGACGAGGGCGGGGATGCCTCCGGCGTAGGCGCCAGCAAAGATGAGGGCAAAGGCAAAGTAGTTCCAGTACCAGGTGCCGTAGCAGCTCTTTGCCGGGGCGGCCTCGAGGACCCAGCGGCCGTCACGATCGCGGCGGCACTGAAAGTAGCTCATGGCCTTTGCGGCGAGTGGGAGGTAGAGGAGGACCATGAGCTGGAGGTAGGCGCGACGAGAAGCGTCGAGGAGAGCGGTGAGCGTAAGGGCAGGTGGACGGAGGGCGGAGCGATGGGCGATGGCGCGCCAGACCTGGACGCCGGCGATGACGACGGCAAAAGGATGCAGAAGAGGAGTGGAAGCGTGACGGTCAGCCACCACTTGAGGAGCCAGACGTGGTCGGTGACGGTGGCACACTCGGGCGAGCTGAGGTCAAAGTTGAGGTTGACGAGCGAGACGACGTTGAAGAAAGAGGCGGCAAAGGGCGGCCACTCGAGGTCGATCTGTCCGTACATGGCGGAGATTTGAAGCGAGTTGAAGCCAATCATGATGGCGGCAAAGCGGTAGGTGAGCTCCTCGCGGGAGTTGAGCCAGACGAGAAAGGCGACGAGGGCAACAGCGGCGACAAAAGCTGCGATGAGAAGCGGGATGGTCCGGTCGTCGCACTTGTAGCACGCACCCGAGAGGGCGTAGTAGCCGCGGGCGCAGGCGCCGCACAACCGCCCGGTGTAGCCCTGGGCACACACAAACGGATAGCCACCCGAGCACGCGGTCGGGTTGGGGCACTCGAGGAAGATGCCTGGATCGGCAGTGGGAAAGTAGCCAGGGATGGCGACGGGGAGGGCGATGCCGCCAGCGCAGCGGGCACCCTCAGGGCAGGGGTGCAGGGGCGGTTGATGACGCCGGAATCGGTCCATGTGCCTGGGATGCAGGTGCAGTTGAGGCCGCGGCCGGGGACAGGGACGAAACCCGGGACGAGCTGGGCATTGACCGGGCAGGTGTAGCAGTCGATCGCGCCGCGGCCGGCGAGAACCGATGACGGCGGGCAGGCGGCGCACGGGTCGAGCGAGGTGGTGTCGGAGAAGAGACCCTCGTCACAAAGCGCGCACTCGAGGACGCTCGAGCCGTCCCTGACGAGCGCGCCCGAGCCTGGAAGACAGGCCTGGACGCGAACGCGGGCAGTGATGACGGCGCTGGGCGCAACGGAGACGTCGACGGCCGACTGGGCGACAGAGGCGACGAGGTTGATGTCGACGCCGACGTCAACGCCAGCGCGCGCAGCGATGCCCACACCGGCAAACGAAACACCAGCAGGCTCAGACATGAGCTGCAGACGACCAGCGCCGACAAAGGCAAAGTTTGCGTCTGTGGCGTCGTCGGCAAAGGCGAGACTGATGGCCAGCTGCGGATCGACGATGGTCTGCCCGAGACCATCGCGGCCACTCGACTGCGAGGTGCCTGTGCCGAAGGGGCCCCTGAAGAGACCTCGGTCGGCAGCGCCGCGGTCCACTCGAGCTCGACGAGCGGCATGGCCATGACTGGCCCGTAGCCGACTGAGGCGGCGATGTCGGAGAAAGAAGCATTGTAGGCGGCGACCATGGCGTCCGAGGCTGCCATCCACGGCCCCCTGAGGAACTCGGTGCGGCTATCCGCGAGGCAGCATGGGTCACCGACGCGGCTGCAAAAGCCAGGCTGCGGCATGCAGGCAAAGAAGAGGCCAGAGGACGGCGCGATGCCGCCGACGCGCGCGCTCGAGTCCCAAGCAAAGGCACCATCACCGAGCGTAGCAAGGCGGGCACCACAGGCAAAGCCGATGCTGCCATAGACAGCGATGTTGCTGTCGAGATGGACGGAGTCGGTCAGGAGAGCGCCGCGAGCGGCGCATGGCGCGGTGTCGTCGGAGTCGGCAAGCAGCGGCTCGAGCGAGGCGCTGGAGGCTTCGACGGGGAAGCCGTTGCGAGTGAGCGAGGCGCGGAGGTAGTCGGGCGCCGAGGTGATGCCAAAGGCGCCGCCAAAGGCAGCCGAGTTTCTGGAGAGAGTGCCGCCAACGAGGCGAACAGTTGCGTGGCCGACAGCCATGATAGCACCGCCGATGCGGCGGCCGAGGTTGCGCTCAAAGAGAACATCAACGAGGTAGGTGCTGACGGCCTTGCCTGAGGCGACCAGTGCGCCGCCGTGGAGGTCTGCGACATTGGAGCGAAAGGCAGCGCCGGGAGCTGTGGTGTTGATGGCGGCGTTTGCGGCAGCCGAGTCGCTTTCGAGAGCGAGAGCGCCACCGGAGCCAACGGCCGAGTTGCCAGAGAAGAGAGTGCCGGCGCCGATGTAGATGTTGAGCTCAGAGGCGTCGAGGGCGAGGGCGTGGACGCCGCCACCATCGCCGCCCTGGGCGATGTTGTTGGTCAACGAGCACGAGTTGAGGGTGAGCTTGGCACTGGCCAAGGTAGAGGTGCGCAGGAAGAGGGCGCCTGCGTTCTCGCGAGCAATGTTGTCCGCGAGAGAGCAAGCCGAGCCGAGGAGGTTGACCGCGACGATGTCGGCGAGGGCAATGACGGCGACGGCGCCGCCGCGGCGGGAGGCCGCGATGGCCGGCGAGGTGCCGACAGCGGTGTTCTCGCTAAGGTGCGAGTCGATGATGGTGAGGTAGGAAAAGCCTGAGGCGGACTCGAGGAAGATGCAGCCGCCAGAGACTTCCGCGATGTTGCGAGAGCAGACGGAACGCTCGAGTGTGATGGACATGCTGTTGCCGACGGCAGCGATAGCGCCGCCCGAGTGTTGGGCGGTGTTGGCGTCAAGGAGCGAGTCGATGACCTTCAGCGAGCCGCGGTCGCCGACGAGGATGGCACCACCAAAGCCAACAACGGCGCGGCGACTGAGAGCTGGTCGGCGGTGACTGAGGTGGCGTTGCGGATGACGACCGAGGAGAGGACAAGCGAGCCGTGCGAGACGGTGAGGAGGCCACCGCCAAAAGAAGTCTCGGGGCTGGTACCACCGATGATGGTGAGCGAGTCGAGGACGAGCTCGACGCGCTCCTCCTCGACAGCAAAGAGGATGCTGCCGTCCTCGAAAGGAGTTGCGGCGACGGAGGAGCAGTCGATAATGACGTCGTCGCGAGAGGCACCTCCGCCGACGATGCGGACCGACTTGCCGACGACAAAGCGGCGGGAGGACCAGCAGCCAGTGTAGGTTCCGGGCGGGAGGACAACTGAGTCGCCACAGCGCGCAATCTGTGTGGAAATGACCGAGGCGATGCAGGCAAGCGTGTAGCCGCAGCGGTCGATGGGAACTGTAAAGTTGCGCGGGCCGCGCGGGAGGCGCCAGTTCGAGTTGATGCCGGAGACGACTGCGCGCTCTACATCGGTGTGCGAGGAGGAGGAAAACCAGTCTGGGTAGCCATCGCCGTCAGCATCCAAGACATCAATGGTTTCAAACCGGGCGCGGGTAAAGGTTTTGCCCTTCTGGTACCACTTGATGGCGGAGGCGAGGCGTGGAATGCCAAGACCAGGGTTGGCGTCGTCAAAGGCTGCGGGCGAGGGGCCAGACCCGGCGTTGAGGAGGATGATAGCGTACGCTGAAGAAGAGCTACCGACAACGTCGAGATAGCCGTCCCAATCGAGATCGACGAGGGCAAAGACATCGCCCGTGCCAAGCGGGTTGGGATTTGAGGGGCCTGGAACGATATTGTCCCAGTCGACTTCCATAGGGATGTCGTGCAGGGACGAGAAAGCCGGAGCAGCAGACGAGCCAATGTTGATGAGATAGCGGTAGGGGCTTGACAAGGAGGAGAAGGAGAGGACAATGTCGACGAGGCCGTCGTTGTTGATGTCACCGAGTTGAAAGCCGGCGACGTTGTCCGAGCTCGAGAGCATGATGGTGATCGGAGCAGCGGTCTCCCAGGTGAGGGTGCCGTTGGCATCGGCGGCTGCACCGAGCGAGGGCGCATAGATGATGTGGTCGGCGGCGGAGCAGACGACGAAGAGGTCGAGGAGGCCGTCTGCGGTGACGTCAACGGCGCGAACAAAGCGCTCCGAGGAACAGGGCGAACCAAGGTCTACCGAGAGGTGTGGAGGGTAGAAGGCCTTGACGTCTTGAGCGATGTCGTGGCCCATGAGGACGTAGATGGCGTTATTGTTGACAGAGGAGATGACAATGTCGAGCCAGGCGTCGTTGTTGAGGTTGACGATGACAAAGTCTTTGGCGTTGCGAATGGTGCCCGAGTCGATGACGACGTACCTGTTGTATCCGAAGGGGGCACTTGATACAAAGTAAGGCTCGGCGCCTGTGTTGCGGTACCACACCAGCCTGTCGTCGTCAACGAGAGCAACGAGGTCTGGGCGGGCATCGCGGTCAATGTCCGCAGCCTCGAGCCAGATGATGTCGCCCGCGTACATGGAGGCAGACTGGCTGATGACGTTGTCAAATCTCGGGGCATTGTCGGCGATAGTAAAGGTGCCAGACGGGTCAAAGGCGATGAGCTCGGGCCAGCCGTCGCCGTTGAGATCAGCCACGGTAGAGGCGGTGATGCCCGCCGTACTGTCAACGGCGGTAACGATGGTGTCCTTGACGGCACCTGCGGCGAGGTAAGGGAAGACGCGGATGCCTTCGAACGAGGATGGGGCGAGAATGTCGACAAAGCCATCGCCTGTGGCGTCAACAAGAACTACAGAATTACTGCCAGTGGAGGCGATGTCTCGATTATGGGCTAAGGAAAGAGCGCAGACGAAGACGGAGGGCGCGGGAGGCCCATGCTGAGCTGGACGACATATCTTGCTTCGATGTAGTCGATGTAGTCGTCCTCGGAGGGATTGAGGTGAATAAAGGAACTGCGGTATAAAAGGGGCACGCCGTCTGCGACGACAATACGCTCTCCGCCGTCGGCGTAGAGGTTCTCGAGGCCGACGCCGCGGATGTCGAGGATGGCGAGGATGGCGTCGTTGGCTAAAAGGTTCTCATAGACAAAGTCCAGGAAACCATCGTTGTTGATGTCGGTGATGTGGAAGCCGTTCCAGAAAGTACCGGAAGCGACGAGGGTGAGCGAGGCGGTGGTGTTGGCCTCGAACCAGGAAACGTTGGTGATGAGGTAGACGTCATCGTAATTCGAAGAGAACAAAATGAGGAATCGGCCATCGTCGAGAGCAACAACCTCGTTGGGCCAGGAGTTTCCTGGCGGTGGGGTGACCGGGATCGAGTACAAGACAAAAGCCGGCGTGTCACCGGGCGCTGCGCCGCTCTCGACATGGGTATTGGCGAGGAGGGTGAGGGTGATGGACTTGCCGTTGAAGTAGACCATGGTGACGTCGGTGTCGCCGTCCGAGTCGACGTCGATGAGCTGTGGGTCGGTGGGGTAGCCGGGCGGTGGTGGGCCAACTGGGAAGACCGGAGCGGAGAAGTCGATGAGGCCGGTGCCTCCGGAAGCCGAGCCTGGCCCAGCGGTAAGGTAGACGTGAAGGGCGTTGAATTCGAGGGAGGAGTGCGGGACGATAAAGTCGAGCAGCCCATCGCCATCGAGGTCACCGAGCGTACGACGGCCACGCCGGCCAAAGTATCGGCGATGACTCCGACCCGGGCAGACGTGGAGAACGGGGTGGTGAGAAGACCCGAGTTGCGGTAGTAGTAGAGAGTGGCACCAGCGCGGAAGGAGCCAGCTGTGGTGGACGGGAGGACGAGGAGGTCGGCTAAGCCGTCGGCGTTCATGTCGGCAAGGACAATGTCGGAGGCGTCGGGAGCGGGCGTGGTCCAGACAGTGACGCCAAACGCCGAGACGCTCGACTCGTACACTGCACACTTGAGGTCGTGAGCACCGTAGGAGCAGACATCGAGATAGGTGTCGCCGTTGATGTCACCGAGGGCGATCCTGCTCGGGTTGTTGAGACTAAAGATGTCTGAGTAGGTGAAGGACGAGCCCGAGGTGTGGTGGGCGTAGCGGAGCTTGTCCTCAGAAAAGGAGCCGTAGACGAGGTCGTGGTCGCCATCCTTGTCAAAGTCTGCGACCTCGAGGCAGGTGACGTCACTGCCGGAGACCATCTCGACGCGCTCGGCGACAACAAAATCGTCTGTGGGGGAGGTGGCACCGTTGACGTAGACGATGATGTTGTTGTCCTTGGGATCCTCCTGGACAACGTCGAGGCGACCGTCGGCGTCGTAGTCAAAGAACTGGAGAAAGTACGAGTCGGAGGTTTTGGGCAAGAGCGAGATGCGGGGGCCAAAGACACCTGGGGCGGTGGCGTGGCGGAGAAAAGTATCACCGGAGGAGGTCTGCCAGACAATGTCCGGGAAGCCGTCGGCGTTGACGTCTGCGACGTCGACCGACTGAAAGCGACCGTTGTTTGAGTGGTAGGGCTCGATGACGTTGCGGGTCAGCGCGAGGGCACCGGCCCCAGTGTTTTCGATCCAGACGAGGTCAAGTGAGAAGTCGGTCGAGTCTGAGGTGGAGAACCAGACGACATCGTTGTCGCCGTCGGCGTCGATGTCGGCGATGTAAAAACGCTGCTGAGACCCGTAGGCCGGTGCAGTGACTGGGATAGTGGCAACGTGGCGTGGCCAGAGGCGAGTGAGCGAACCCGGAAGAACAGCGATGGGGTTGCCGTCACACGCGTCGACGAAGATGTCAAGCACGTTGTCGGCGTTAAAGTCGGCGACCATCGCACGGTCGAACTCACAGTCGTAATGAGCGAGCGAAACCGAGTAGACGTCCGCCATGCAAGCGGCGGGGCCCATAGATGCGGCTGAATGCGACGGGTTGCGAGCTGGAGCGTACGATGAGTTGAGGAGCGTCGAGGGAAGGAACGAGACGCCCGAGAACGATGAGAGGAAGTAGTCAGGAACGGCGTCGCCATCGATGTCAAACTGGTCCAAACGGGTGATGCGCGAGGTATAGAGCGTGGCCGAGTTGATGTCGATAGGCTTGGTAAAGTGATGCGAGCTCAGTTCGTTGTCATGTGGCTGTGCACACGTACCAGCAGTACGTATCGGATGAGTGTGAGTTGTGCGCTACCGTCCCCCCCCCCCCCCCCCCCCTCCCCAAGAAAAAAAACCATCTAGTTTTTTTTTGGCGGCGTCGCGGCGTCAATCAGGTCAGGCTGGCAGGCAGGCATAGTTCCGGGA